TGCAGCCGAGGAACCGATTTGCTGATTTGATCTGAACGGATGGAAATGTCCCCCGTGTGCTGTGGCTGCTGTGTGGGGCAGAGCAGGTCCCTTCGTGCGCAGAGAGTGGGCGGAGAGGAGAGAAGGGGCCGGGAGCCGGTCCCCCTGGGGCTTCAGAGGGGAGGGTCTCCTGCTCCCCATCCTCCAGTTTCTGCCCCACACCCCCGGCATCCCCCCCTTATCACACCTGCTCCTGGTCTCCACGGTGACAGCGCCTCGCCCAGCAGCCTGGGTGGTCTGGTCGCCTCACAGGGTGAAGTTCTGAGAACATTTTCCTGACGTGCAGCCAGAATTTCCACTTCCCGCGCCCAGGGCTGGGGCTCTGCTCCCCCTCCTGCCAGCCTCGCCCGTGTTCACTTTTTGGTGATGGTCTGGAACTGAACCTGAAATATCTCTGAGCCCAGAGGCCCGGGGCTGCGGATGGGGGTGCCCCTCGTCTTTGCCGCCCCCGCTGTTCGGTGGGGAGGCCCCTCGTCCAGACGTTAGTGAGAATTCAAACGGCGGCAGCAGAGGCTGAGCTGCCAAGCGTGGGGCTCCGTGCAGCTAAACAGCCGTGAAGCTAGTCCCAGAGCAGTGATGTGCGCATGTATGTTCCTGTGCACATGTATGTACACACGTGCATGTTTCTGTGCACATACATGTGTGTATCCAGGTGCACACACATGTATATGTGTGTATTGTGTGCAAGTGAGGGTTTCTGTGTGTGCATGTGTGTACCCAGGTGCACAATCTATATATACACGCACACACATGTGTATATGTGTGCTGTGTACGTGTGTACAAGTGAGGGTTTCTGTGCACATGTATGCCTCTGTACATATATGTGAAAATGTATGTACATGTCCAGGTGCACGTATGTACACCTATATACATGTGCACACACGTGTGTGCTGTGTACAAGTGAGGGTTTATGTGTGTATGTGCCCAGGTGCACATATGTGCACATCTATACACACATGTACGTGCACGTGTGTGTTATGTGCAAGGGAGGGTTTCTGTGTGCTCACGTGTGCGCGCTCCTAGTGGTCATAGGATGTCGGGGGGCCACAGGGTGAGTCCAGGCCTGGGCACTCGGTTCAGTCACACGTCGGTCTCCAACCGCAGCCTCACGGGGCATCCGTGCTCCCTCGGGAGACGGGCCCGGGGTAAACTGAGGCCGAGAGCAGGTCACAGCGCCCTGGGCTTTCCCACCAGAGAAGGGGGGGGGACGCGGAGGCCACGGCGTCTCCCGAGTTCCTGACTGTGACGCGCGGAGGCTTCCAGAACGCCGGTGACTGTGAACAGTCCAACACGCTGAGATGCCCACGGGCAGGTACACACGTGTGCCCTCACACGTGGCACATGCGTGCACAGCACCCACTAGACAAGCATATCCAAGACCTGGTGTATCCCAACACGTGCCCCTCGTAAATATCACCCGTTCCTACCGCCGAGCTGCTGCTGCAGCCAAACCCAGGCCCCCAGGGCTCAGGGCGCCCCTCGTCCCGGCCTGGGCACGGCCTGTGGCCCGAGCTGCTCTCTGGTCGCACAGGGACAGCCCACCTCCTGGGAAGCCTGTCTCAGAGCCTCCGCCTTCGCAGGGCACCTTCCTGAGATTGCCCAGGCGGGGCCCCCAACCCCGCAGGCCCCCCCAGAATGACCCCCAGGACAACCCCCTCCCCCCGGGTTAGTGGCCCTATTGCTCCCGGGGCCCTGGCATCATCTTGGAGGACCTCAGTGGGAAGCCTTCTGCGCCTCCCGCTCCCAGCTCCTCCCCACTCTCCCTGGCACCAGCCTCACCCCTTCTCCTTTTGTG